TCAAAACAAGATTTTGGCAAATAACACAAAAATTGGTTTAATTAGTTTATAATATCCATTAGAAAATCTTCTACAAATAATATTGAATATTATTTATTGGTATCTTTTAAACTATATCATAGAAATAAAAAGCAGTAAAAAAATGTTTTGTAAAGTCTTTAACTATCCAAAAAGAATAATAAAGATTAATCTTGTTCCAATAATATTAAAAATAAACAAATTAATATAAAATAAATCAATTCAAATTAGATATACTACTTTTAAGTCCAATTCAAAACTTGACAATATCCTTCAATAAATAAATCTGCTGCTTTATTTTTTTGAAAATTTACCAATTAATAATATTTAACTTGGCAGCAATATTAGATAATATAAAAAAATTCTAAGCTTTATCAAAACTTAAAGCTTATTAGTTCTAAAAATATTTAATTATATTAACTAATTTTACAGTTTCAAAATTATTAACAAATCTAATAAAGTTATTAAAAATATCAAAACTAACAAGTATAATAATTCTATTGCCTTTAAAATTAAGTTACTTTTAGGAATATTTGCAACAGAAAAACTTTTATAAATTATATTTAGATAATTATTCAAACCTATATTGTATTAAGTGCAACCTGTGCATCAAAGATATTCTATATATCTTTAAATATCCATAGCATTAAAGAAAGTTAATTAATTTTTAATATTATAACAATATTCTTTATCATAATAGCAACTGCAAACTAATTTTACATAAGTAGCAACTAGTAGAACTGATATATAGTATTATTGACAATATTTTCTCTATAGTCAACTTTTTTAACCAGGCCAAAGTATTAACTATAATTTTAATATATTTATACAAATTTATTTGAATATCTTATTGTATATAGCAAATACTTTTGTTTTTACTGTATTAAATAAAATAATAATTTTTATAACATTTTAACAAAATCAATCATTAAAAATATAATCAAATTTAAATTATTCAATGATTTCTTTTTTATCTCTATACTAATCTCAACTATTATCAATATATTAATTATAATTACAGATTTTAATATTAAAAATAGATATAATCTTTTCAAATATATTTTTTAACCAATATTTAATTATTTGATTTTTTTTTATTTAATATCGAATAGGTAATTATAGTTGTTTAAGATCTCTTAACAAGATATATTATTTTAAATTTTTTTTTAATATTAGTTAAGTGGTTACTGTAGACAAGCTAGTATTTAACTTGTTATGCTTTAATATATGTAAGATATTGTTTTTTTCACAATATATATTTGATATTATACCATTTAAATAAAAAAATAATGTTTATATGCTAAAATAAATAAATAAATAAAAACAAATAAATATTAATTAATATTATATTATAAACTAAATACTTTTCAAAATTTAAAATAGAATTTAAAATTTATTTTATTATATTTTAAATAATGTTAAAAATATAAATAAATAAATAAATTATTTTTTTTAAGTTTTGTATTAAATTTTTTTTAATAAAATATATATCTATATATTGTTTTAATATATTGAATTTTTTTTAGTTCATTTAAAATTATAATAAAAATAAAGATACCATAGCTTTTTTGTTTTTAAAAAAATAATTATAAATTTATTTAGAGATATATTATATATATTTTTATTATTATAAATATAACATGATTTTTTATAATTTTAAATAAAATATATAATAAAAAAATTAAATAAGTTTTATTTGATAAATTTAAAAATGATTATAATTTTATTTAAAAAATTATTATATTTTTGTGTAGTTTGTATTTTATGTATAAATAATATTAAAATAAGATAAAATAATAATTAAATGTTTTTGCATATCATTTTATCAAATAAAAATATTTTTTTAATATTTTTCAAAATTCTAGAAATTCAAATTCTATTCTGCTTTTCAATATACTTAATTTAATATTATACACTTTTTTTAATATTAAATTATAGGAAAAATAAAGTGTTGTTATTTTTATATTGTATATTGTAGATATATAATTTATAATCAATAAATATAAATCAAAAGATAAATCATTATAATACTTGTCGAATATTATATTATATTATATTATTTTTATTTGTATATTTAAAAATTAAAAAAATGATATGATAATATCCATTTTAAAAAATTTTTAATCGCTATTTTATGTAATAAAACAACAGAATTCAAACCATCCATATATAATTTTTTAACTTGGTTAGCTAAACAATGATTCAGTACATGGCCTATTTTTGTGAAATATTATTAAATTAGAAAAATAAAACATTTCCAACAATGCAAAAAAGTAAATAACAATAAAATTATTTAACCGATAAATCAAAATCCATCGATAAACGTTTGTAAAATTTTATATGAAAATGAATTCTATAACTTATGTACATAGAAAAAAAAATGTTATTTTTAATGATTTCGGAAATAAAACCTGGCAAGATTGTCAAGAAATTTGCAACAGATTAAAAATGTAAAAAGTTAAACGAAAAAAAAAAAAAGTAAAATAATTATCAATTTTATAATATAGGTTTTTAATGTAATTAATTCGTTCTATTATATTTTTTATACAAATATTTTCTAGAATGTTTTAAAATATTATTTTTGAAATTAAAAATTAAAAATATTTATAGCTACAGCACATAAACGCCACATCAAAGTAACACATATTTCAGACCAGTGCTATTGATGCCAAGCGATTACTGTATCTGTTATTTAAAGTTTTGTTATTCCCGTAAGCATCATATAGTAATTTTGAGTATCGATTGCGGCACTTGCAACTGGTAATTTATAACATAAAATTATGTATTGCATCAATAGTGTGATAACTTTATCGTTATATTAAAAGCATCTTTGTCCTTTGTGCAACAAACGCCATTATAAATATTTTGGATTGTCGTAAGTAATCAGGATTGACGCATGTGATTCGTCGATCCCAAAATCCTAAGATCTGGAATATTTTTTGCGATCGCGCAGATTTCGAGGAAACAAGATAAAAATTAAAAATTAAGGATGATGCTATCAAAGAAACAGTTTTAAAAGTCAATGTTTATAAAGAGCTTGTGTGAGGTAATAAAATTAAATTTTTATAATAGAAAACTTTGGAATAGTTTTAAGTAATTGTGAATGCATGCTAACGGTTAAAAATTTTTTTGGAAGAATTTAGAGACTCGGACCAAATCTTTTCACGCCTCACGCCTTAAGAATTAATTAAATCCTAGAGGGCTTCCAGCCCTTTACATTATGCATATTGAGAATTGCGAAACACTTCAAGTGTCTCTATCAAAAAATTTGCAGTCGAACGATAAATGGTCGAAGGAGTCAAAAACTCCATGAACAAATTGACAACATTAATGAAATTTGAATGTAACGACTTAAAAGATATAAAAACTATAGGAATTATGCCATTGGAAAAGCATATGAAGCTTATACAAAGAACATTAAAATGAGAGTAGCGATCAAGAAGGTTAAAAGCTTTGATGAAACATCAGCAAATATATTTCTTAATGAGGTGTTTACGGTATTTCATTATGCATGTAGGCGTAACTGCAGTTCTTTATAATATGTCTAACGTAAAACATCATTTTTATCTTAAATTTCATCAAGACATTAACTTTGATGATAGCATTTTACAACCTTAGGAATTTCCAATAAGGTTAATATGTATTGATAATAAACATGTACGTTTACATAAAGGCTTTATCTAATACCGTATAGATAATATACAGATCCACAAAACCAAACATCTTAGTGCTGTTGAATATACAGATGCAAAATTGCGTCAATGCCTTTCATTTGTTAAACTGGGATAATAATTACGCATCGCGAAACAAATTACAAGCACGATTTTTATTACACGAAAAGACATTATTCATAGGGATTTGGTTGGTAATCAATTCAATGCACACATTAACATAGTACATATTAATTAATTTACTCGGTTTTTAGCATCCAGGAAATATTTTTATCTGGGTTGGAATCATAAAGCTTGTTGATTTTGGGATGCCTAAAAAATCAAAGGACGCATTGATTAAATCCTCCCCAAGAATGCATTGATATTTATGAAGATTATATTAGCCATCTGTTTGTATTTCGTTAATGATTATGTTCTTATTAATTGATTTTTAAATCAATTGGCCGGTTGGGATTAAAGATTATTTGTCGATTCGAAAATGGATTTTTTTATGAAAGTCAATCAATACATTTTTTTGTGTATTATTATATATTTTCTTCTCTCTCAAACCTCGCTATTTATCATTTTAATTACAGATGACAAATGACAAAAAATGCCCACCTAATCTATATTATACTGTAGAGCATTGATTTATATAACTTAAAAGCTTTTGCGCATCACGTTACTCGATATCATTATTTATAGCTAAACCTAAATTTGTTGCTAAACATGACAAATTATGAAGTTACTAAATTCATACTGTATCTCGAGGATTTTTATATGTGAGTATAAATAATTTCAAAGATAATTGCAAGATAATTCTACGTTTATTAAAGCATGATATTAAATAATCCGAAATAAACTATCACAAGTTTAGGGTTGCCGTTGCTGGTAGCAAGTCAGTCCTGATAGAACAGTTCATTGTTTTGATATATACAGAAAGTTCACAACACAAAAAAAAACAAAAAATGCCAACGATTTTCACGGACAACAATACTGTACTATCTAAAATAATGTAACTTTAGAACGTGCAATACTGTACTTAAAAGTATTCAACATATTCAACATATTGTAATAATGCAGAGCACTATTTTAGATATAAGGCAGAATATATTATCGTATGATTGAGTAGATACCAGCATTTTGGTACTGCAGTTAAGCACCTCATACGTCAATACGCGTTGCCCTGTACTGTATCCTGAAAATCGAGCCAAAAACAAAACTGCAAAAGAGTAACACAACACAATGGACTTAAAGCCCGCCAGGTACGGTGCAGTGCTTTGCAAAGATACTTTATAAACTCCCTGAATCAGTGTATAGAATTGACTAGATATGGAGCAAAGTCGGAATATTGATATTCAAAACAAAAATGTACAGGATTTCAGAGATGAGTTTGCGGAAGAAACAATGGTCGAGATGCTTAGGTTATTATCCGACCCATCCCATCTTATGAATTACTCCAACAAAGAGCAAGGTACGCAGTTTGAACTGCGCCTGAGAACCTTTGTCACATTTTTGGAAAAAATTTATTATTCTCCAGCAGCTTTAAGTCGAAAGCTCAAAGAGGAAATCTCAAAAAACCTGATAAAATGCGCCGAGATTTACTATTCAACATTGAATTTAGAAGGCAAGAATATTGATATGCACCCCTCCCCCCACAACTACAATATTAATTTTTTATTGTTTCATATTCGAGACACTTTACACGATATGTGCGAAGAAAACTTCGCATCACAAGAATTGGTAGATTATGTAAAAGAGCAAATCCTGAAAAATGTTAAACCGGAAAATAAAATCTCGGACGAAGATAGAGCCGCACCTGTTTTTATCGTGAAATATAGGAATCCCAGTAAATTCAGCTTTCCACGTTCTTATTGGTATACAAATTGGAGAAATCTCTTGACCATTAAACATATCTTAAATACATCAATGGAAATAGGAAATTATGAAATCAAACGTCAATATAAGGACATTATATTTTTAGAATATTTATGGGAATTCCTGTTCAACCAGCAAGAAGCTGCCACGTCGGAACAGACACAAACATTAAAGGTTTTAGAAAATGCTGACGAACTGCTGAAGGTTTTAACTAATTCAGAACATGCAAACTTACCAAATCTTTTATGCTATGGACTGCTGGATTTGGCAAAAGATTTAAGTTACAAGACACCAGAAAAAGTCATCACCGTTTTTTGCTATTATTTTGGCCAGGAATTGTTGCAGCAGTCACAAGATAGTCTTGTCAGGTTCAAATCGTTGGAATTATTATATTCGTTAAAAAACCTTTATCCAGATCTTTTTTCTGAGGCGTTAGAAAGCACCATTGAAAAGTATAAGTTATCCTCGTCAGCGCAAGAATTCCAGAAATACTCAGAGATAGTCCCCAAAATTTTTTTTTGTGATGAAACACTTTATAAAAATTTGGGTTCCACAACGAAAATAGAATCATCTGATGAAGTACTGAGTGATAAGAAGGGTCATTCGCTCCTGATCTCAATGGTGGCAGATAATTTTACATGTCCAATTACCTATGAAATTACCGGAGACTTTGTGGTTCTAGGCTGTGATCATTCGATAAGTCGATCTGCATGTGACAAGTGGAATAGAGTTTCTACGTTATCCGAGAGAAGTTTCAATTGTCCGATATGCCGAACCAAAATCAAGGAAGAAATCTACAGGCTTAGTAGAGTCCACACATTGAAATCCTTTTATAATAAACTGATATCCGAAGGATATTTGAATAATCTCCAGGATTCGGAGTTCGAGGAACTGGAGAACAAGGAGAAATTAAACATACTCAATATTATGCTCTCAAATGATCCAAGTAATATATCTGCTCTAGTTCAACGTGGAATTACCTACCGTATGTTAGATGAAAATGAGAAATCACTCGATGATTTTAACGCAGCGTTGCAACTTGATTCAGATGATGAAAACGCATTAGAAAACCGTGGTGAGACCTATAGGATAATGGGTAGATATAAAGATTCGATTTCCGACTTGAACAAAGTGCTAGAGAAAAATCCCGACAGCTTATTTGCATTGCGATCTCGTGGAAGCACTCTAAGATGTCTTGGAAAATATGAAAAATCTATAGAGGATTTGACGAGATCATTAGAGGCGCAGCCCAACAATCTGTTCGCGCTTAAAAATCGGGGTGAATCTTATCGTTTGTTAAATCGTTATGAAGAGGCACTTTCTGATTTTAACAAAGTTTTGGATATCGAACCAACCAGCATATTTGCACTTTTCTCCCGGGGAGAAACCTACTTTGCTATGGATCGAAGCAACGACTTTCTAGCCGATTTAAACAAGATATTGGAGCTAAAACCGAGTAATATAACTGCCTTAATTAATAGGAGTATAGTATATCGAACGATGGGTCGATTTGACGAATCACTTGAAGATATCAGTTTCGTGATAGAAGTTCAACCTGATGATGCAAGGGCATACAAAATTCGTGGTGACATTTATAGGATGCGGAAAAAAACTTTAGAAGCCATCTCAGATTTCAGTAAGGCGCTCGATATCGATCCAAGTTATACCATGGCGAGAATATTACGTGGTTATTCTTATTGGACAATAAGAAATTATGAAGATTCACTTATAGATTACAACGAGGTTTTGAAAGTTGAACCAGAAAACGAGATTATCTTGGCAGCGAGGGGAAATATCTATCGCAACATGGGTCTATACAAGGAATCTCTCGTGGATTTAAACAAGGCATTATCCATTGATCCAGATTATTATTATGCAATGGAGATCCGTGGAGCCACTTTTTATCAGCTCGAACGATATGAAGAGGCATTGGAAGATTTCCAGGTAGCTATCGAGAAGGATCCAGATGATTGGTTTATATACGGATATCGTGGCGCAGTTTACATCAAGCTGAATATGTATGGGCAAGCCGAAAATGATCTGGATAAAGCAATCGAATTGGACGCTAGTGAATCGCAGCTTCACTGGCTTCGTGGAATACTTTATTTTCATACCGACCGTTACGATGAAGCGCTGAAAGATTTGAATACAGCTGATGATTTTGTACCTAAAGTATACTTGGATGAATTCGAACAATCAGATGCACTTTATTATCGAGGTTTGATAAAGCGCAAATGTGGGAAGCATGAAGAGGCTATAAAGGATTTCAAAAGAGCTGTTGAAGTCGATCCTAAAAATGAAAAGGCAAAAACTGAATTGGAAAAATGAATTTAAAATTTCACCTCTATGTTCTCACCAAGGTAAAAATCGAAAATTTAAATGTTTATTTCTTAACCAGCAGTTTTTTTTCACGTCAATTTTACTAAGCTTACGTATCTTGTATACAGTTGTGCGAAAAAAATCAAGCAAATTAGAAATTTAGTAACTAATAAGCTTTAGATTGTAACCTTATATATATATTTTTTATGTAGAATATTTTTTATTGCCAATATACAGTATACTTTCAATAAATGCATATGATCATAACCCAATTTTGTAACATCGAAAAGGAGACCGCAAATTGATACTTGTAGGAGTTAGGATATCCGCACCTTAAACGATTTTCGAACCTGATTCGCAAAAAATTCGCTAGAGGGTTTCGGTGTGTTCTAATTCCATACGTTACAGCGAGTTATAGCCATCATAAACGTATAATTAAACATTTCTCAAAGACCAATGATTTTATTTATTTCCGTATCATGTTACTACAGTATCTTATTTTTTCTTATTTGAAAAAATGTGTATCATTTAAAAGAGTTGACAACACATATCAATGGAATAGTGTACTATTCTAGTAAATTAAATTATTTATACATTAACACGCAATTACCTTATTTAAAAATTCGTAGATTCTTCGCGAACCGCTAAAGCATTCAAATGCAACCCGTGTAACCCTTGCCTTCTCAATTACTTTTCCTTCCATTCCAATATAAGATGGCTCTTCAACTATAGTATTTTGGATTTTTTATACCATATTCGATAATAATGATTCTTATGCCATTACAGATTACTAGTTTTGCAATGTTAAACTCGCATAAATTGCGACTGCAACAAACCAAAACACGTTGCAAAAGTAGTGTGACAACACGAGAATAACTATAAGAATTATTTAATATCAAATAAAGTAATGTGTGTAGATAGGAAAGTTTCATTCTTTATTATTTTTATTTTGTGCACTGTAAAAACAGGTTTCGATTTTCTTAAGTTAAAATTATCAAATACTGTACTGTATCACTTTCTAAAACCTAATAAGCTCTGCATTGTACCATTTATGGTACAGTATTTCATAAATTTAAACAGTATCAAAAATTCACGTAATTAAATCAGAGTGCCATTAATATATTAAAAAAATTTATTTATTAAATATTTGGCTTTTAATTCAATAAAAATAAATACGAGTATGATAACAGAATCTCGAAATAGTTTACATGAACTTATTTTTGTTTTTACATAATTTTATGAAATTCGTGATAAAATAAAAACGGATCTTTTTTTATATAAAATAATTAACGGTAACGAGTCAATGGTCGATTTAAATTTCCGAATTCTTGGTCGTTTGACATTAATTTAACAAAAACCCCCATTGAATTAATTTAACATCAGGAACTAGTCACTAAGTTATATTATTTATAAAACGATAATAATATCGTATTTTATAATTCATTCCTGTATACGTACCTTGTTGAGAGAAAATGATTAATTAATTAATTGCTTTGATTTTTCCATTTAATTTGTTTTAACTTACTATCTTTTTTATCTGTGCGTTTTACATCCAAACAGACAGGGAATAATTGTGACAATAACTGCATTATTAGACTTTTCCCTCTTTTCTTATTTGACTAAATTATTTATTTCATTTTCTATGAGTACTATAACATAAATAATGAACTATTCTTTATTAAAAAAATTAAATAAACTAAGAATCAATATAATAAAATCGATCGTAATAAATAAAAAATCAATATATATATATATATATATTATCAGTCAAATAATATTAAAAAAAAAGCAATCATAAAAAGTTTTGACATACGTATGCTAAAATATATTTGCCTACATTTTAGATTTATCAAACCAATATTTTGATTTCTCGATATTTTTTGTAGTTCCAATCCCATCACGATAATAAACTCCAAGGTTTTTTTGTGCCTGACTGTTTCCACTCTCTGCAGACTTCAGGGACCACTGAAATGCTTTCTTGTAATCTCGAGTGGTTCCAATTCCAAATCGATAACAATGTCCAAGACTATATTGTCCACTGGCATTTCCACCTTCAGCAGATTTCTGGTACCATAGAAATGCTTTCTCATGATCTTGAGTGGTCCCCTCTCCATTGAGATAACAACATCCAAGATTATACTGTCCCCGAAGATCTCCACCTTTAGCAGATTTTAAATACAACTGAAATGCTTTATTGCAGTCTTGAGTGGTTCCAATTTCTTTATCATAACAATATCCGAGGCTACATTGTCCACTGGCATTTCCGCCATCAGCAGATTTCTGGTACCAATGAAATGCTTTTTCGAAGTCTATAGTGGTTCCAATTCCATCGTGATAACAACATCCAAGATTACGTTGTCCATCGGTATTTCCACCCTCAGCGGATTTTAAGTACCATTGATATGCTTTTTCGTCGTCTTTGATGGTCCCAATTCCATTTTGAAAAAGAAATCCGAGAATCATTGCATTTTGAGAGGTTTCCTGTAAGTCAGTTAATAAATTAAAAATATGTTCTGGAGTTGTCTGATTTTTCTCAATAAAGGTATTAATACAAGTTGTTAACTCTGAATTAGAAAGTTTTTTACTTATTTGATCGACAATAAGTTTATATAATTCGTCGAACGTATTAAGCTCATCCGTTCTTTTTGGAAGTTCTTTAATTATCACTGGTCTTGCAGGTAAAATAGTTGACTTTATTTCTTTATCGGGAGAAAGAGACTTATCAACTATATCATTCCAAAGTTGTTTTTCTAAAATCTTCTTATATGGTTTTAATTTATTAACAATATCTTCACCAGAAAATTGAAAGTAACGAATAAGGGG